CTAAAAAAAAAAAAAAAAAGGTTAAAATTAGAAATTTTATGTTATATACATTTCACTACAATAAAAAAATACTACAAAGATATAGTAGTCAGTCTTCAGAGTGGCACTGGCTTGAAAATAGAAATATAGATCAAGGGAATGAGATTCCCAAAAGCAACCATCAAATTTGTGGTTTGTTGATTTTCAACAAGGATATCAAGACAACTCAATGGGAAAAAACTTTTTTCAACAAATGAGTCTAGATTTCCACATGCAAAAGAGTGAAATTGGACCTTTACCTCAATTTGAATAAAAATTAACTACAAATGGATCTTAGACATAAGTGTAAGAACTAAAGCTAAAAACTCTTGGAAGAAAACATAGACCTTAGGTTAGTTTTTAAGTGATTTGGATTAAGCCCTAGTTTCTTAGATATGACATTAAAAGCACAAGCATCAAAAGAAAAAATAGATACACTGGACAATAAAAATAAAAAACATTTGTACTTTTGAGGATACCATCAAGAAAGTGACAACACAATTCACAAAATAGTATTTGCAAATCATTTCTATGAAAAAGGATGTCAATAGAATCTGTAAAATACTCTTATAACTCAACAATAAAAGACAAATAATTAAATTGCAAAGGATCAGAGTAAACATTTCTCCAAAGAAGATATACAAATGGCCAATTAAGCACACATAAAGTTGATTATCATCATTAGTCATTAGGGAAATATAGATCAAAACTATAATGGGATCCCACTTCACACCCACTAGGATGGCCATAGTAAAAAAGATGGACACAAAAAATGTTGGCGAGGATGTGGAAAAATGGTACCCTGCTGGTGGGAACCTGAAATGTAAATGGTAAAGCAGCTTTGGAAACAAGTTTGGCAGTTCCTCAAAAGTTTAAAAATAGAGTTGCCATATGAGCCAGTAATTCCTTTTCTAGGTATATACCCAAGATAAATGAAAGCATATTTACATACAGACATATTTATGCAGACACTTGTACACAAGATTGTTAAAAAATTAAATGGGATAATTTATGCCAGTTCCCTATCATAGAGCATTATACAAATAGAATTTATTGCATACTCTTCTGTTCCTTATTCCCAACACCTGCCCACTGATGCTGAACTACTGTATTGGATAGAGGAGTGTCTACAATGGGTACTTCCTAAGCATCTTATCATCTGAAAGTTATTAAAATCAGTATGTTGACCAATTGGCCTATCATGAGAGTATTCTGAGCTTAAGTATGATGATCCCAACTGCAATAGCATCTCAGTAGTTCTGTCTGAGGCTATAGCCCTTCCATGTATTCCTGTTATGAACAGTGAATAATTATATGTGCTCTCTTGCAACTCTAGAACCAAACTGCCCTGTGGGTATAGTCAGGTGACATCACTGCAACCAGCTGAATGTTGGCAGAGAATTCTGTATTTTCCTGTCCTAGTACGTGTGGAGTGATAGGTTGCTACGACCGAGTAAAGCTAGATTCTGTAGCTAGACATGGTGGTACACATCTGTAGTCCTAGCTACTTGGGAGGCTGAGGTGGCAGGATTGCTTGAGATCAGGAGTTCGAGGTTTCAGTAGCTATGGTCACACTAAAAGCAAGACCCTATCTCTTTTTAAAAAATTCAATTTAAAAAAGTTACATTCTGCATTTGCTTAGAATCATTAATTACTTAAGGGCTGTGCCAAGGAGCATGTAACAGTTTTGTGCTTATGCTCTTCTGTTCTCAACTAGACCTATACTTAGGGTCAGAGAATTGGCTTTGTGGCTTAACCACTCAACCTAAATTTCCTTGTTTGTAAAATGTGAATAATAACGCTTGTTATTGTGTTGTGGCTTTGGTGGAACAATTCAAAATGGGACCACTCCTAAAGAGAGAGAGAGACAGCATCTTCCATCCCAACCAATCAGGGGCATATCAAAGACTTACCCCAGGTCTAATGACTTGAAGTTCACAGGGGTTTTCCATCACAGCACCATGTTTCCCAATATCTTAGAAAGAACCTTAAACAGAAAAAAAATTGTGTAACTGTATGGTATTTTTCTTTTTTCCATAGCACTTTCATTTTTGCTTCATCTCCTTCCCATATCAAGGGAAATATTCTGTCTTACTGAAGGCAAAGGGAGTGAAGACCCAACCTCCTAAGGTCACACAACTAGTGAATGTTACAGCAAGACTAGAATAGTTAGAGTATAGAATTCTTAGTTACTATATTGAGCTGTTGCTGCATCCCAAGAGCTGAGTTTTCTGAAAATTTGGAAAAAACTTCATGATGCATAAAAAGGGTAATGGTATAATTACAGAATCAGTGAACCACATAAAACTAGATTAGAAGTCACTACTATATTCTTAGAGATTTTAAGTACTCATTTCAGTACATTACTTGTTTGTAGTATGCCAAAGCCTCATAGTGAATACCCAAGATACAGTTCAAAGTAGAATATAACTAAGTCCAAACATGTGTGACTGATCCTACATGAGACATGATGGGATATCAGGAAAAGCAGAGATCACAGTGCTGAAATGGTTTCATGGAGGAAGTAGAATTTGAGTATGGCTTTAAAGTGTGGGTGGGGCTTGGATAGATGAATAGAAACGTGGACACATTTGGGAATGAATATCAGGAAAGGGATACAGCTTAACTGAATATGAGTACAGAGTTGGTTTTTGAGGGCACAGAGGTATAAAGGCAGTGAGGAAACTGACACTGTTGGAACTGAAGATTTGGACTACAAAGTGAAAGAAGATAAAATCAAACAGGTATAATAAGGCTCTTATCTTCCTGCCCCAAGGGAGATCTGAAGATTAACTAGGAAACAAGCCTTGGTATGGGCAAGATTCTGTGCTGAGGATGGATCAGAATAGGGAAAGAGAGTCTGTGGCTGTAATTTCACTGAGGCTTGCAGTGACTGTGGTATAAAACAATAATGAAAGTGGGAATGATCCATACACCGTCACAGAGAAAGAGTGGGTAGGCTTTGTATTTGTTTTCTGGGGCTGCTGTAAAAAGTACCACACAACAACAACAGAAATTTATTCTTACAGTTCTGGGGGCTAGGAGTCCAAAATCAAGGTGTCAGTAGGCCCATGCTCATTCTGAAATCTCTAGGGGAGAGGATCATGCCTTGCCTCCTGCTGATAGTTTGCCAGCCACCCTTGGCACTCCTTGTTTTATAGATGCATTTCTTCAGTTCTCCATCTTTACATGGTCATATTTGTTCCGTATGTGTTTTTTCACATGGTGTTCTTTTTATAAGGTCACCAATTATATTGGACTGGGGGTCTACCCTACTTCAATATGGCCTCATTTAAAGAAATTACATCTGCAATATCCCTATCTCCAAATGGGATCACATTCTAAGGTACTGAAGGTTAGGACTTCAGCATATCTTCTGTGGGGGAAGGGGGGCAGAATTCAAGCAATAAGCTTTTATGACAAATTTTATATCTTAGATTAAGGACTTCAAAATCTTGAGTATGCATGACTACAGACAAGTGGAGAATGTGGCAGAGGTAGTTAACTCTGTTATATTCCCAGGTGGTTTCTCTTATCGCAGAGTGAATGGCAGAACACATCTCCACAAAGAGGCAGACCAGACTATTTGGAGACTCTTTCCTGCTTTGAGGGGTTAGAGATATGACTTATTTTATTCTCAGTATGTTTCTGGATAGAATCTATTTTTCATGTTAGCCTCACTTTTAAATCCCAGACCTAATAGAGTGGAAGATTATGTTCAGGAGGAGTTTTTTTGTTTTTTGTTTTGAGTTGGAGTCTCACTCCGTTGCCCAGACTGGAGTGTAGTGGCTGCTCCCAGCCACCGCAGCCTCAACTTGCTGAGCTCCGGCGATCCTTCAGCCTCAGCCTTCCAAGTAGCTGGAATCACAAGCGTTCGCTACCATACCCAGCTAATTTTTTTTTTTTTAATCTATTGTAGAGATGAGGTCTCGCCAAGTTGCCCAGGCGGGTATCAAACCCGCAGGCTCAGGCAATTCACTCACTCACCTGGGCCTCTCAAAGCACGGGATTACAGGCTGAGCCACCAAGCCCGGCCTGGGATGAGTTTTATTTAGAAGAAAAGTTAGCAAGCAAATTTTATGTCTTATAAAAGTTAATGAGGTGCTATTTATTCCTTTTCACCATATCCTAAGTGTATAGATTTAGCTCACTGAGAAGTAAGACGGTGTGAAATTACTAGGAGTCTAGAGTTTTTGTTCTTTGTTCAACAACATAAATGACTGAGAAATGATGGCATTTAGAGCACATTCTGTTTATCTCCTTTCAACCAGATAGACTATGTCACCCCAGGTTATGGGACTGAGTCCTTTGAAAGACCAATTCTCTACTTTTATCACAGGAGTAATAAATGTTCATCAAAGAGATTGGATATTCCTAGAGCAGTCATCAACAGCTAGTCAATGGCTAGTGTGGAAATGTGTGAGAGTAGACCAATTGCAATTCTACAGACTCTTTTTTCTCCTCCAGAATCTTCCCCAGGTGTGACAGAGGTGACCATCATAGAAAAGGCACCTGCTGAACGTCATATGATTTCTTCATGGGAACAAGTAAGTGTTGCCAAGTGGATTCCTTACCTCCTAACAAGGGAGGTCAATTTAAATGCCCCTGAGAAGAAAGATTAGGGGAGGAAACATATCCTTATCTCAGGCTATAGTTGCCTTCAAGGTAGAGTTCACCCACCTTCAAGGTAGAGTTTCTCTATTCCTGTTCAGGCCACTTAACACTCCCTTTCATTCCATGCATACTTCCCAGCATGGAGTGTCCTCTGAGCCCAGCTATCCTATGGAAGCGGTGAACATTCAAAGTTGTATACAACAAAGGTAAAAATCCAGTAAGGAAAGGAAAAGATAAGTATTAATAAGCATCATGCTGTTCAGAACATGGTTAAGTGTTACAGATAACTACTAACCAGATCAAAGGCTTGTGCTTTCCAACCCCCTCTGAACTTTAATTCATTTATTCAGTAAAAGTTTTAAGCTTTTAAAGTGGCCCAGACATTGTGCTTGGTGTTGAGCCCTGGGGATTCAATGGTAATTTTTTAAAAGGCACTGTTCTTACTTCTTGGTCTTCCTGTCTAAGACATAGTGTCGGTTGTTACAAGTATAATTATAAACCGGACTGAATACTTTGAAGGAGAGGTGAAGGAAGTATTGTCAGGAGGCCTGCTTAGTCTGGAGGTTGAGAAAAGGTTTTCCCAAAGAAGGTATAAGAAATTGTTAACCAGGCAGATGGGATCTGGGAAGAAGAGACTTTTCAACCTCTGTGAAGACTTTAAGATGGGAAGGATGACATTGTTCAATGATGACAAAGAAGGACCACAGGAGAGCAAGGGAGAGAGAGAGAGCTCACCAAGAGCCGGGACACACAGGACTTCTTAGGTCCTCAGGAGTTTTCTCTTTATCTTGGAAGCAGAGGGGTACCCTTGAAATATTTTATGTAGGGAACCGCAAAGGTCAGATATCTGCTTTGAAAAGATCACTGTGACTATAGCTTAGCAAATGGATTTCACTGGGAGACTGGGGAGGAGGGAATTGCCTTGGCATTAAATAAGTGCCTGCTAATACATACCACATAAGTTATCTCATATTAAATGAATAATAACCCTGCAAAGTGGGTATTGGTATCTCCATTTTATAGATGAAGAAACTAAGGCTCAAAGTGATTAAAGAATTTCTTCTGGGTCACATAGCTAACAAGTGGTAGAGCCTGCATTTGAACTTGGGGTTGCCTGCCTTAGCACACACCCTTTCTGCTCTGCCAGGCTGCCCCCTTATGGAGGACAACACAGAGGAAGACTGGTCCTCAGCAGCCAAGCCCAGGGGGTGTGTGTTCAATTCTCCCAGGATACCCTCCCTTGTGCTGAGCCAGCAGCAACTTTTTCTGGCAGCTCAGTGACTGGGAGTTGATCCGGGGCCTCAGCTCAGCTGCATTCCAGCTTTTCTCTTTCAGCTCCTGCCCCTGTTTCTACTCACAGCCCATCAGGGGAAAAGGGAATTCCAGAACAGTGTCAATTTCTTGTTGGTTGATTCTATCAGAGCCGGTTCCTGGTGTTGCTGTGACTGCAGGTCTGGCCTTGTTGATGTTGTTACGAATAACATTGAAGGAAAATAACATTGAGGGAAGAATAGATATGTAGAGGACATCCCTTTTGGTTCTTCACAGCTTAAGTCAATGCCTTAGGTAGAACTGCTCTGGGGCTTTTTTGTGAGCCTAAGATCCTGGTGTTTTCCTGTCTGTGAAGGACTTGGATTGGAGGGTGAGAGAAGTGCCCTGTCTAGGCTGAAACACCATTAATACTAGGACACATTATGTCATTTATTTAATGAAGTAATATCTGAGACACATTCTTCTGGTGTCTTGTACCATGTATTCTCTGGAACTCTCTAAGAAGACTTCACCCATTTGTCCCTTACTGTGCTGTAGTTACTCATTTGGCGCATACCTGCCATAGCAGTGTTTCAGGGCTGGAGTCTACAAGGGGTCTCTCGAGGCCTCATCTGCCTCCTGGGCAATGCACCTTCATTGGGCTCCCCTTCAGCTCAGACTGACACATAGGAGAATGCATTTGCAGAGCTAGATACACAGTCACTGAAGTTGGAAAGTATTAAGAAGTGAGCATGAGAGAGAAGTTTTTAACTAACTGAGACATTTTCTTCAGACATACTCAGTAGGGGAATATCTGTGAATACCTAGACTAATAAGATAACATTGATTTGGAATTTTTCTTTGAGTCCTTTACTTAAAATATCTCAGATCTGAGTTCAAATATGCCAGTTCTAAGCCTGTACACCTGCGCACACCTATAGTCCCAGCTACTGGGGAGGCTCAGGTGGATTTCTTGAGCCCAGGAGTTCAAGACCAGCATGGGACATTCATCTCTTAAAAAAAATTTTTTTTTAAGTACAAACAGTATTAGGACTAGTAATGTAAAAATGTTTCTTTCACCTGAGCTTGTCTGTCTGGGCTTTTTGAAGACCTGGGATGCCTGGAGCCTAAGATAGTTTTGGGTGTGTACTTTTGTTTTAAGATTCTGTTTTTATATAACAGAATTTTTTTTTTTTTTTTTGAAAAGCAGGATTTATTCAGAGGACAGAAAAGCTCCCAGAGCAGGAGGGGATCTGAGGGGTTGCCCTATATAGCAGAATTTTTTACTATGCTAAATAAACATGGTTACCATTAAAAATTTTTGAAAATACTTTAAAAAAGAGAAAATCCTCTAGTAATTTACCATCTAGACATAACTACTGTCAGTATAGTTTTGTCATTGTGTGGGTGGAGGGTAGGCAGTGGGTTGGTCCAGGCATCCCCCTCAAGTCCATGATGGGAAGTGGTGAATGGACTCCTTGAAATGGATGTCAAGTGTGTGAAGTATGCATATTTTTTTCTGGGGAGAGATTACTTCAGATTCTCAAAAGGGTTTATAACCCCAAAAAGCTTAAGAACGGGTTTTTGTTTTTTTCAAAGTGAAGCAATCCTCTATGTGCTATTTTGTTACCTACTTTTGTTTCTTAAGCAAGGGAGGACAGAGGTTTTAAGCTGGTCTGAATCTCCTCTGCCCCATTAGCTGGTCTGAATCTCCCCCCATTTTCTCATCCCAAGGGGTTACTGAGGAACATGTTTCCGCAGGAGCAGGCTTATTAGGGCCACCTCTGATGTGTAGCTGCTTTCAAAAGTGCCTGTACCAGCTGGGCAGAGGATCTCAAGGAGCTGATAAGTCCTGCTTCTCTAGAGGACTGACCATAGAGACCTGTCTCCTTGGAGATACCTCAGTGTGGTATACCTAGTGTCCACAGCTATGTGATGTAGCCAGATAAGGCCCTCCAGGAAGAGACTCACTGCCTCAGTCTCTGCTCTTTTTGGCAAACGTAACCCTCTGGGAAGTTTTTTGCGATACAATACACTAGTAAGGCTATGGATTTTGATGTAGGTAAAATAGACTGGAGTAGAAGTGTTATGCCAGCTCTCTTGGTCTTGTCATCTGTAAAATAAGTGGTTTGAAATCAGTGTTATTGAAGGACTTATGCAGTGGTAATCGAATATTTTGTGACTCTGTAGTACAAATCCAGGAAGAAAGGTTGACAACCAAAACCTTGTTGACAAAAACATGCCAAACTCTAAAATATTTTAAGATAGTTTATTCTGAACCAAATTTTAGAACACAAACCTGGGAACACCCATCTTCAGGAGGTCCTAAGAACATCTGCCCACTGTGGTTGAGAGGTGGCTTGGTTATATACATTTTAGGGCAGCAGAAGTTACAAAAACCATAAATCAATATATATGAGATTTTTCGCTGGTTTGGCCAGGGAAGGAGGGACATTTCCAAGTGGAGGCTTGTAAGTCATAGGTGAAATCAAAGATTTTTTTATTTTATTTTAGAATGGGGAACAAGTGGGGATTTTACTGTATAAGTAGGTTGCATACAGGTGAAGTTTGGGCTTTAGCTGGCCCTCTCTTCCCCGATAGTGGACCAGGCATTCAGTGTGTTGCTCTTCCACCAGCAGTGTCCAGCTTCTCCTGATCCCACCCTTGTGCTAGTGTGTCTAGTGTTCAAGCTTCACTTATGTGAGAACATGCGGTATTCAGTTCTTTGTGGTAGTTCACTTAATATGATGGTCTCCAACTATATCCAAGTCACTGCAAAGACCATGATCTTATTCTTCTTTATGCTTAATATTTCGTTGTCTGTATGTACTACATTTTCGTTATCCAGTCCACTTTCCACAAGCATCTGGGCTGGCTCATGTTTTTGCTATTGTGAATAGTGCTGCAGTAAACATGCGTGGGTAGGTGTCTTTTTGGTAGAATGGTTTATGTTCCTCTGGGTATATTCCCAGGAGAAAGATTGCTGGATTGTATGGAAGCTCAATTTTTAGTTTTTTGAGAAATCACCACACTGCTTTCCTTAAAGGGTGCATTAGCTTGCATTCCCACGAACAGTGTAGAAACGTCCCCTTTTCTGCACAACCGTGCCAGCATCCATTGTTTATTTGACTTTTTAATGATAGTCATCCTTACCAGGGATGGTATCTCATTGGAGTTTTGATTTGCATTTATCTAATGATTAGTGAAGCTGAGCATTTTTTCATGTTTGTTGGTTGCTTGTATGTCATCCTTAGGAGAAGTGTCTGTTCATGTACTTTGCCCACTTTTTAATGGGATTCTTTGGTTTTTTTTTTCCTTTCAATTTGTTTGAGTTCCCTGTAGTTCCTGGATGTTAGACCTTTGCCAAATGCATAGCTTGCAAATATTTTTTTCCCATTCTATGGGTTGTCTCTTTACTTTCTTGATAGTTTATTTTGCTGTGCAAAAATTTTTCAGTTTGATAAGGTCTAATTTACCTTTTAGCATTTGCTTTTGAGGATGTAGCCAATAATACATTGCCTATTCCAGTGTCCAAAAGAGTGTTCCCTACCTTTTCTTCTAAAATTCTTATAGTTTGAGGTTTTGTATTTAAGTCTTTGATTCATTTTGAGTTAATTTTTGTATATGGTGATAAGTAGAGGTCTGGTTTCATTCTTCTGCATGGGGCTAGCCAGTTTTCCCA